CCCCCCCCTGACTTGAAAGCAGGATCCGCTCTTGCTTGCAGTCTGATAAAAATAAAAACAATTAAAAAAATGCGTTTTGCAAACAATGCTGGATTAGGTGGACGCTGTGCCGCTTTGTGCAGGCAACGATTTAAATGCATGCCAAATTGAAACTTTCGTTTGATATCTTTTTGGCTGCATCTGGTTGAATTTAATGCTAGTTAATTACGAAATGTGGCCGCCCCAAATAACGCATCTAAATTTAGAGCTTTCGCGTACCAAATGATAATGTTTCTATCGGATATCCTGTTGATTTTTGTCCTAATCCTAATATTTTTGGTTTCAGATTGAAAATGGCTCTCTGTTTGGTAATAGCAGTGTTCAATTGAAAGTGACCCTCCCTGTACTACCGGCCAGTGCGGACGCGTTTTATTTGTGCGTGAAAGATGGTCCTGCCAACTCTCTGAAGCCGTTTGTGCACCAAGGAGACGACCCCTGGATGCAGGTTAAAACCTACAGCAGTCTCATCCCCCTTTGGGCCTCCATTGTCGTGATTTTCGTTTGCATTTCGTTTTCTTCCCTGTTTTCCGGGTTGAACTTAGGTAAGTGATCATGTGCAGTCCCACTGGATTAGAGCAAATGTGTGGATTGTTGCAGGTTTGATGTCAATGGATAAGACCGAGTTGAAAATCCTCTGCAATACTGGAACGGCCAAGGAACGGAAATACGCCAGAGTGATTCAGCCAGTGCGAAATCATGGCAACTATCTGCTCTGTTCCATTCTGTTGGGAAATGTGCTGGTAAACTCGATTTTCACCATCATTTTGGATGGACTGACTTCGGGACTGATTGCGGTCATATTTTCGACTTTGGCGATTGTGCTGTTCGGTGAAATTTTTCCTCAAGCGGTGTGCTCCAGGCATGGACTCGCGATTGGTGCCAAAACTATTTATATTACGAAATTTGTGATGTTCCTTACTTTCCCATTGAGCTACGCGATCGCCAAATTCTTGGACTGTGTGCTGGGAGAGGAAATCGGAAATGTCTACACAAGGGAGCGGTTAAAGGAACTTGTAATGGTAAGTACCTATTCCGATCGACAGATCAACCTAGAACTTGCTCAGGGCCGGTGAAACTTGAGATAACAATTTACTACTCATAACTATCAGCTCATCAACAACTGATGGAATGGACCATTGTTGGTTGCCGTTGCCCAAACAAGCCCCTATCTGCTGATGGAGTGTAACAATATTTGCACTGAACAGTGTGTGTGATTACATAAATCGACAAATAGTATTTATGCCACGTCTCTATATACATAGATGTGGAAAAAGTGAGTTCAAACCGGTGCAGTCTCGCCGAGTATAAATAGAAAACTCGCCGTGACATAGATAGGAAAGGCGAAGTTGTTGGAGACAGTTTTACCGAATCAACACATCGACTTTTTTAATGGGGTAAATAGTTGGCCGTGGCGCGAATGACTGCTCTATTTGTTTTTTTGCTCAATATTCTGGATACTTTTAAGGTGGGCTCATGCCCACGTAAAACTGCTAAAGTCCCACTATTATTTTCAAAAATGTCTTCGAGGTTTTAATACTCATGCTAGTTCCGAGCGAAATTATCAAGGTTTGCTTGAATTTTGTTATATTTTGCATTGCTTTTCTAAGATGAATCGTTAGTGGCGCTCCCACAGCGCTAAATAAAACCTTCCCTTTCGGGAAAATCATCGTTTTTCTACGCAAAATTCATAAAAAAACTGGAATTTTATAAAATTTTAGCAGCGCAAGTCGCACACAATCTTGTCCGGATAAACATCGACGAAATAAATTGCATCTTTCGGGAGTGTTGTGAGGCTAAACTTGCATGAAAAACAACCCATTTTTGCAGTAGTTTAATACTCTGATTTCGTTGTTTTGGGTAACCGTGCGTCATTTTTTTTTGAGTGGATATTCCTTGATAAAGCGCCCGCAAGTGCGGAGATTTGCGTCATATCTTTTACACCTCCTAAGCACTTAGAGCCGGTAAACCAATTAAGATTTACTCTACCTATGCAATAAAATCGGGTTAATTGCCTGACGCAGGCAACGTTACAAGAAAAACACCCAGGCCGAACTGAAGGATGTGAAATTAATTGGATTTTTTCCCGAACGCAATCAAAAGCCTTTCAGAGATCTGGAATATTTTCCGGACTATTTGCGAGCGATTCGAATTGTCCTCCACGGTGAAATGATTTGTCAGATTGATTGTATACGCGTGGCATTTATCATTTGGGAACAACAAAATTTGATAAAATCCGCGATAAGTCTCGGTTGAACTAGTTAATTCAAGTTTGGGCCCTTCTAGGCGCGCATAATTAATGTAGCCGTGCATGATTGAGTCGTCGATCGGCGGTGTTTTAAGGAGGATTCCATGATAAATTAAGCGCCGAACGTTCGCTGACCAACCGCTCGAAAAACAGGCAAAAGCGTTTTCCAGTAATGAAAAGTGAGAGATCGATATTACGAAGGCGTGTAGTAAAGCCAAGGACTTTAAAGCGCCCGAAATCAAACACTAAAATATCGCGGGATATTTATAAATAAAATTGAGGAAAATTTTCGTTTCGTTGCCAATAAATCCGTGTCTAGTCGTCTAGGGGGATTACTAGTCTAGTTATTCTCACATATAAGCGTCAGCCAACATTTGAATGCACCCGGTAGCGCAAATGGGCCATTCGAGCGGTTTGGGCCATTTTTGCCCCTGCATGGGGAAGTGAGAACGACATATCGGTTGCCCAGGCAACGATGCTGTCCTCGTTCCACCCACCCCATGTACCAGGGCTGCGTAATAAATTTCCAAGTGGAAAGATCTGTAAATTTCCTCCCGTGAGAAATGCAACCAAATTGAAAATCTATCCGGGTGTTATTGAACAGGCGATTTGCGTCGAAGCATAAAGCGTAATTTAAAACAGGCGTGCGAAAGAAATCACCTGTGATAACAAACAGCCTGGATGAAGCTGGCTTTGTTTTATTGTCAGCTCTGATGGAAATTTTGCTGATTTTCGCATTCTGCTGATGATAACAATAAATCGTTGCAAACAGTCAGTTGGCAAGTGTGAAGCCTTTGGAACAATGAAGCAATTTTATTAAATTGAAATCGATTGTTCGTGTTGAATTCATATTAGCTTGAGCAAAAAACCGCAATTATATAATGGGGCATCAAACAGCCACGTTATTGCCTTGAAAATTGTTGGGGTCTGTTAAAGAGAATTATTCTGCTGGGACAACACTTTCCGTAGGACGTGATGATTACTCAAAGCGCTTAAATCGACATTTTTCCCATTTAAACGTTTACTGAAAGTGCCCAATAATACGTATAAGCAAATCGATATAACTTATTTGGGTCAGCGATTTGTGCTAGTTGAGGGTGATGAAAAACTGTGCATTTCAGAAAAACCACCCAACTGTATGT